GGGCCCACCCGCCACGGCAGGCTGCCCACGGGCCCCGCAGAGCCCAGGGAGCACACAGTGCCCAGGCGGTTTTGCAACCGGCAGGACCGCCAAGCTAGAAGCTTCTGGAAGGCATCCAGATCCTTCTATAACCAGGACTGCTGCTGCGAGCCCAGAAGCCCCCCTCTCACCCTCCATCGAAGAAAAGGTCATGTTGTGCATTCAGGAAAACGTGGAGAAGGGCCAAGTGCAGACAAAGGCCACGTCTGTGGAAGCCAAGCCACGGCCCGGGCCTTCCTTTGCCAGCTGGTTCGGTTTTCGGAGGAGCCGACTCCCCGCTCTCAGCAGCAGGAAAATGGAGGCCTCCAAACCCAAAGTGGAGAAGAAAGACGCGAAGGGCTTGGGCTTTGGACACAGGCAGCTGAAAGCAGAGCGGAAAAAGGAGAAAAAGAAGTCTGAGCTGCAGAGCGAGGTGGAGAGTGAGCTTTGCAGGGACGCGGCGCTGGCGGGTCCTCCAGGCGCCGGCTTCCACAGCAAAAGTAGCCGGAAGGCAGCACAAGACATTTACGAGCAAGTGAAGTTGGAACCGAGAAATAGACCCAGTCCTGTTGCATGTCCAACAAAAGATACCTTTATGACCGAGCTTTTGAGCAGGTAACGCCTGGGCCAAGCGGGTGGGGATGTGGAGGGCCCCTCCCCCCCACGCAGGGAGAGTTGTTTGCTTAATGAACATTAAATGCCAGCCAAGCATGCCTTTCATACAAGCAGAAACACATAATAGCAGCCTTTTATACATTAGCCAGAATTTAAACAATGAAATAAAAGTTAGCAATGAAGTGATCATTTAGTCCATGTTACTTTGTTAACCAAACCAATGGTCTTTGAAATTAAAGAATGGTAAGTTTTATCAAGGTTGAAAGAAATTCAGCCCACACTAGGAAGCATGAATGTACCCACATGGCATGAAATGGAAGCAAATTAAATGCACGATTCAGAGTATGCCAATCTCATTGATTGTACCGAGCAAACGGATACTTAGAAACTTCCAGAGGAAATTACATTTCCTGCCAATCTTAAGCCAGAAATGTAGTTAGCAATCACTTTGCAGTGTTTTTTTTTATCCCCCAATCTCAGGAGCAGTCATAAAAATAAAGTATTCTATTATCAAATTTAAAGTGACACACTCCTGGAATATCAGGTGAAGATCTGATCAAGGTCATGGGGAAGCGCTCTCACTCAGAGGGTTAAAGACAGAGCGATGTATGCAGGTTACTTTAAACATTAAGGCACTGGGAAGAGTAGAGTGATTGAAGAAGAGCAATGTCATTTATCAGAGGAATCACTTTCTACCTGCAGAGTTGATAAGAGAGCAGCTCAACAGACAGAAAGTGGATCAAGCAGTGTTTCCTGCAGGAGCGTGTTAAAGGGCAGCTCCCAGGGCTCCTGTCGCACCAGCGGCCCCAGCAGCACTCAAGGAAACCACAAGAAAACCCTCAAAACCAAAGCCGAGGCAGAGATGCCCAAGGGCTCCCTGGTAAGTGCTCCACCATCCGGGGTTTGAGCTGTTTGATTCTGTGACAGGCTGGTTGGGGTTCTCTCTGCCCTTTGCTGGTGAAAATATATGGGCAAGAGATTTTGGGGTAAAGAGAAAGTTAAAGCAGAAGAGAATAAAAGAGAGAAATCCCGGTGACAACTCTAGCAGAGGGATGGCTCCCTGTCAGCTCTTTTCAGAATGATGGTAATCACAGTGCAGGCAAATGAGGCTGCTGGTGTCATCTTAAAATTACACCCTCGTGCTGGGACTCTGTGGGGATGTTTATTTCCAGCATTTCAGCAACACAGAAAGGAATGAACATCATGTGAAAAATAAAAGTGCTAAACTATTTAAGGGAATATTGACTATTTTGACGATTTGATTTAAGCATTTCTTATTTTTCTGGAAGTGGTGTGTTCCACTTCACTCTACCCAAATAGGTGTTAAGACCAAGATATTCTTTCTGGAACTTGACTTCCTAGCACTTAGTTTTTTAATTGAGAGGTCCAGAACAAAGGGGGAAATTTCCTTCTAAAAAAATAATAAAAGAAGCCCTGGTGGGTGTGGCTCAGTTGGTTGGGAGTTGTCTTGTAGCCTAGAGGTTGTGGGGTCTATTCCCAGTCAGGGCACATGACTGGGTTGCAGGTCCCATCCCTGGAGGGGGTGCAACCGATCAATGTTTGATGTTTCTGACACTGTTTCTCTCTCACATCAATGTTTCTCTCTTTCTTCCCCTTCCTCCCTCTCTAAAATCAATGAAAGCATGTCCTTGGGTAAGGATGAAAAGAATAAAATAACATTTTTACATTTTCACAGGGAAGCTGCACTTACTGTCCTCATATTCTTTCTGTTCTTGAATAATAGATTTGTGATGTTCATTCTTTTGTTCCATAAGTTTTAAAGCACTTAAACAAACAAAAAAATCTCTTCATGGAATTACTTATTGTATCGTATATTTTTATCCTCTTATAAAAGAGATTTTGCAATATAATACATGCTCTCATTTTCATAGGGAAAACTTGAAATATGAAGTAATTATGCATTTTTCTAGAGTAGTTCAAAAATAGAGGTTTTAGAAGTAACTATGATTGGTGTTATTAGTTATTAACTATTAGTTTAATGACTAATTGATGTTTAGGGTTCCTTAGCATTTTACTGACATACTGTAATTTGAGGCAAATGCACATAATAGCTCTGACTCTAAAGAGATACAAGGCCTTTTATTTTCAAACTCTGGGATCATATGCAGACTATGCTTCTTGCAAAAGTTTTTATTTTCTTCATTTTTACTCTTGACTTCCTTTGGTACCATTTCTTCTTTGAAAATGTAGACGCCCCCTGCATTATAAAACCACAAGTTATAAGCATATCTGAGGCTGCCCTTGTCGTGTCACTGTAAGGAAGGAGAGAGAACGGAACGTGTGGAAATGTGCAATATGCCAGAAATTCAATCCAGCTGATGGAAAACTGTGATAGCCCGGCAGAGCCTCTTATCAGGCACACTCAGTTTAACGGCGCCCCATTTAATGTGGTTCTGACAGGGGAGGGCA